GATAAGGTAATGTCGACTAGAGCGAGTTAATCGAAGCAGTGTTAGCTTAACAGAGAAGAAAGAATTATATATTGTATGACATATACTTATGTGCGTGCCTGTGTATGCACATACATGCACAATTATTTTTTCTAATCGATCGAAAAAGACGAACTGTTCGAATAGAGTCCGTTGGAAGGGAAAGCGTTAACGCGTAAGGTAACACACCGAGTATCGTTCCGAGAATTGCCAAGTCTTCTGCAGATTCAGGAAACGCTATATTTTGTGTGCGTGCGTAGTCTGCGTGTTATATTATAGCTTTAACTAAGAAGATTGATAACTAAATAGTCCGAATGATCCTCTCACCGTAACGTGCAATCATATTCGTATCGATAATATACTGTAAGATATATTGTACCTCACGCGAAGGGTTGTCTTTCCTCAAATAAAGACAGAATATTTATTCACGTTAGAGTGTACATATGATATACATAAATACGCTGTAATAAAGAAACGGAGAGCGCCGATTCATTTGGCAATATTTCTTATTTCTCTTGATTTCGACGTTATTAAACGGCTACGAAATATTGAAGCGAATCGATGCTCGCCCTTCGTCCCCTCCGTACCCGTCTGTTCGTGTTATTGCTGCACGGTAACTCGCTCTTACCGATAGTAATGCCGCGGCGATGGTAAGAGATGGCAGGTGCAAGCAGCAGACTCGGAGGAAATCAATACGAAGAGGAGATTGCCGGGGGAGGGGTTGAGGTGCGTCGAGCATCCCCATAAGGGAGAGCGACGGAAAGTTAGGGACGCTGATGTAGCGCGGCTCAGCCGAGAAAAACGTTGGAAAATATCGAACGGAGTTTTCGTCGTCTCATCCTCTCGTCTTCGATAATTAAAGTGATACATAGTGCGCGGTGATTACGCGATCGTGTCGGGCAAGATGTCGGTGAAGGTGAGTGGTACGCATTCGAGAAATACAGATCGAACAAGCTTCTTTCGTGATGTGTTTGACGCGTCGGACGCGATGCAGGTCGACGAACTCGGTTCATTCGTCCTTTCGTTCTGTAACCTATCATTACGGCATATCGCCAATTTTATCCACCTTCACCTCTAATATTTGTTTTGTTTTCTTATCGTCGAGCAAATCCAGCTGTCCCTCTCTCGTTTTCATTGCCATGAGTTGCTCCTGTGATACATACGGATATGTTGTTATCCTTGCGATGTTACATGACGAAACACGGTGCCGGGCAGAAAGCATTTTAATCGTATTAACGACGCTACAAGTGTCCGTTTCCTGCTACGAAGCTCGAAGCGACGCGACACGACGCGACGTGCGTCTGCTTGCTTGCTTGCGCAGATCCTCGTGTTTGCACGCGTGCACTTGCTGCCGTAGCCTTGTTATCGTGATAGCGTAATCGTGAGCGTGCCGCGTCGTGGACATATTTTTATACTACTCGCCGGTATGTACGTATGAAAACAGAGCGAGAAAATACTACTCGTTAACGTTACGTATGGTAGCGCGGACTACGCGAGATAACAGTTGACGGAGAAAATGCACATGCATGGACTTTTTTCTTAGATGATGATGTACAAACAAACCGAGTTCGAGGACGAGGACAGCAGTAGCATCGGTTCCGTGGCGTTGAACAGCGAGGGCATCAGCACGTCTGGGACGCACGTCAGATATAATTCGGTAGGTTTTCCTCGCGATATATGTACATAGGTAGAGAATTGATTTGATGGTACGCAGGGTATCTCGCTGTGGAGAGCAAGGAGCCCGCTGGAGAGATGTCTTTTCATCATTTGCGCCGGCCTGTTGTTGATGGTGGTGATGCTCTCGATAGTTATCAGCAGTAAGAACGGGTGGGACGAGGCGCAGATACTTCACGTTACTTCCCACGGAGAAGGTAAGAGAGGATTGTCGCGATAAAACTAGTTTATACATACTCTGACAGACCGATCGATCTTCCTTCAGATGGTACACACTGTTTAACCGAGCATTGTGTAACGGTGGCCGCGTCGATCGTAAACAGCATAGATCGCTCGGTCGATCCGTGCGACGATTTTTACGAGTACGCTTGCGGTGGCTGGATCAAAAAGAACCCGATACCGGATGAGAACAGCATGTGGGGAACGTTCGACAAGCTCGAGCAAGACAATCAGCTGGTCGTGAAAAATGTTCTTGGTAAAAGAGAGTCTCTCTCTGAATAGAATTCTGGTGGATGCTTTCGTGACCGAAACCGGCTTTGCTTTTCTTTTCTTTTCATTCAGAAAAACCGTTCTGCGAAATGAAATCGAAGGCGGAGAAAAAAGCTAAGTATTATTTTCTATCGTGCATGGACGCGAACGATACGATTGAAACGCTCGGCGCGAAACCAATGCTGGATCTGTTGGATACCATCGGTGGCTGGAACGTTTCTGGGAAGTTCAATCTAACCGCGTGGTCTTTGCAAAACAGTATGCATATTCTGCAAAATGTTTACAACATGGACGGTTTATTTACATGGGCGGTGAACGAAGACGATCGAAATAGTACCAGGCACATTATACAAGTAAGAACCGCGTCCCGAGATAGAGGAAACGCGTGCTTTCCTTCCTAGCCTATCCTACCAAACGCCGATTTCATTTTATTTTTATTTTCATTTTCATTTTTATTTTTATTTTTAAGATCGATCAAGGAGGCTTGACGCTCCCAACCGCCGACAATTATCTCAACTTCACCGAACACAGCAAAGTGTTGCTCGCCTATCTGGAGTACATGACCAAGGTAGAACCGCGGACCGCCGTCTAACCAGATACCGTCTATACAAATACACCACACCGTCTACATTTACAGATCGGCGTGCTGCTAGGTGGAGCGGAGAATTCCACGAGGAAACAGATGCAGGACGTGATCGATTTCGAGACCAGACTGGCACAGATCATGACACCGCTCGAAGATCGTCGGGACAAAGAGAAGCTGTACAATCAGATGTCGTTGAGCGAACTTCAGCGTAAAGCGCCTTTCGTAAGTAGCGCGTTCGCGCACCCCTTCCATTCATAAATACCATTCTATAATTGTTCACCTAAATTTAGATGTCCTGGGTGGACTATTTCGAAAATGCGACGGGCCTCGTTAACAAGAAAATCAGTAACAAGACGATGATCGTAAACTTTGCACCGGAATACTTTGTGAAATTGTCCAAGGTGGTTTTAGAGTACAATGGGACGAAAAAAGGAAGAGTGTAAGTTTCCCCCAGATACTATAGGGGATAGGGGAAACCTCTTGCCTTATCCCACTATTACATTCTACATAAATATGTATGTATGTACTTACTTACTTACCTACTTACTTACTTATGTATGCTACATACTTAGCCCCTTCTCTATCTAGCAGCGCGCGTACACGTACACACGCTCCATCTCTCTCTCTCTTTCTCTCTCTCTCTCTCTCTCTCTCTCTCTCTCTCTCTCCCTTTGCTCTTTTTTCTCGTACAGAATACTGAATAACTATCTGGTTTGGCAAACGGTGAGATCTCTGACCGCCTGTCTGTCGAAACCGTTTCGGGACGCTTACAAGGGACTGAGGAAAGCTTTGATCGGTTCGGAAGGCCGTGAAGAGCAATGGCGTTACTGCGTCAGCGACACGCATAACGCGATGGGCTTTGCGATCGGCGCGATGTTCGTTAGAGAAGTTTTCCATGGAAAGAGCAAACCCATGGTTAATTTATATTTATATCTAGTATCGAATTATTTCACTGATAATGCACGCTACCGGTGCATCGTCGACGCGATCTCGATTTTAAGCGGAAATCGATTCTAGGCGGAGAAGATGATCAACCAAGTGCGCAAAGCTTTCACCAAGAATTTGAAAAATCTCGATTGGATGGACGAGGAAACGAGAAGATCCGCCGAAGAGAAAGCGAACGCGATCACCGATATGATCGGCTTTCCCAATTTCATTTTGAATCCGAACGAGCTCGACGAACGTTACAAAGGACTATCCGTCAAAGAAAACGAATACTTCCAGAATAACATACGAGTGAGCAAGTACAACTTGCGAAAGAATTTGGAAAAGCTCGGTCAGCCTGTGAACAGGACTATGTGGATCATGACACCACCCGCGGTTAATGCTTATTACTGGCCCACCAAAAATCAAATGGTATTTCCCGCTGGTATACTGCAGAGTCCACTCTACGACATGGAGAATCCCAACAGCTTAAATTTCGGCGGTATAGGAGTTGTTATGGGACACGAGTTGACCCACGCGTTCGACGATCAAGGTACTACCATGCCTACTTAAGTACTTATGTACCTATACGTATGTATCTTCTACTCATCCAACACTTCATTTGTCGCTTCACCTCAGGAAGAGAATACGATCTTCACGGGAACTTGAATCAATGGTGGAACAACGCTACGATAGAAAGGTTCAAAAATAGAACAGAGTGCTTCGTCGAACAGTACAATAATGTCGAGATACATGGTCGACATGTGAACGGACGGCAGACTTTGGGTCAGTGATTCCACCGATCGTTTCATTCCTCTCTACTATTTGCCATTTCACAATTTCCATCTGTTTCGTTCGCAGGCGAAAATATAGCGGACAACGGAGGCCTTAAAGCAGCGTATCACGCCTACCTTTCCACGCCTAAAAGTTACAAGGATCAATTACCCTTACCTGGACTTAATTTGACGCATCGTCAATTATTTTTTCTCAATTTTGCCCAGGTAAATATTTATAAACCCAATTATGCTCGAGAGTAGACAGAGTATGTAAGTAGGTAACTAATTTAGAAATGTTTCCCAGGTTTGGTGTTCCGCGGTAACGTCCGAAGCGATAGCCCTTCAAATCGAGAAAGACTCTCACTGTCCACCAAAGTACAGGGTGATAGGGCCACTCTCGAATCTGCCAGAGTTTGCGTCCGAATTCAACTGTCCAGAAGGCTCGCGAATGAATCCGGTTCACAAGTGCGTAGTATGGTAAACGAGCGGCACCGTTTCTTTCGACAGTCCACATCAACTTGGAGATTACATACATACATAATGTATCGTTTAATTCGGTATATCTCGCAAACGAGTTCTTGTGAAACTTGTTACAAACGCTTCCGCTTCTATCAGTTGTGAATCAGTTAGGATCGTCGCCGCGATCTTTTCCACCGATAAGCAACAATGCGTCGATCAAGTAGAAGCGCCCAGCGTAACCAAGTTGCGCTTTCGACGGCGTTATTTTATTCGGACGGTATCGGACGTGATTCGTAGCGAATACGTTTATACCGAACGTTCCAGGGCTAATTTCCTATTAACCTCGAATTCCGGATAAATCAGCTCTGAAGCTGAATTATTATAGAAAGGCACTAGGGCTACCATATACGAATCGTTGCATTTCTTTACAACACTACTATACTCGACGAACGCGTTGCGGAGTGTCAATGTTTTTCATTAACCGAACAAATTCACCCTAGTTCATCGTAATCATTCTGGTGGCAGCAGCAATTAGTTTATCGAGAACCGGTATTCCTAAGGATCGGTATATACATAGGTACATACTTATGTACAATGTGTAAGATATACGCGCTTGCATACAAAGGCATATTGCCTTGGAATTGTTCGTAACTGGTCCTAACTTTTCACAAAGAACATGTACCCCCTCACCCCTTCCACGTTTTCATCCAATTCAGAGCGTGTCACTTATTATTTATTGAGCAACGGGAAGAAGAGTGAGTACATACGTACATATGTATATTCTATTGGTGTCGCAAAAAAATGATTTCGACGATCCATGGTGGTTATAAGCAATGTATTGCCGTAATTTCTGCAGGCAGGAACTTCAACTCTAGTGTTAAGCTTAAGAAATTTAATTTTCTAAACGAACTACAGGCTAGTTAAGGTGGAACCAGGACTCCTCGTGTCAACCAGTACAATTCGACGTGCCGCGCCGCTCTACGTATGAACAAATTTCAAAACGGATACATATTTTCAAATGTGCTTAAGTGTCGTATATTTTGTGTCGTGTGAAGCTTCATGTTAGGAACGAATCGAAAGTTTGTTTTAATCTCTAAAAAGTATATCGGAGATTGTATAGTACAGTGATCGTCTAATTTAACTAACTATTTTCTACAAATACGATGCCAATGTGGTGTGACTCTCTATTTCGAACGTTTACGAGATCGTTCGGTCGTTCGTTCGTTCGTAATATTCAAGATAGAGAGTAAAAGCGATTGTTGGAAATTGATCGTAAGTTCGATTGCTGCTCTTTATGTATCTTTTTATTTATAAAAGAGCGCGGACAGTGGGAGAGAGAGAGAGAGAGAGAGAGAGAGAGAGAGAGAGAGAGAGCGGCAAAGAATTTGGTGGGTCGAGCGAGTAGTCCTTAACTAAAGCGACAATTATTTCCGATTCACTAATATTATATATTATTCGGAATCATATATTTATTAATGACGCACGTGTAAATCAAATAAAGAAGAAATTACCTAACGACACGAAGGTTTTATTATTACTTACAATTGCAGGAGAGCAGAGAGTTTTGCCTCCTATGACATATGAAATAACATATCTAACACGATTATTTTATTTCGAATTCTCGTTTACACGATCCACCCGAAACCTATTCGGTGGAACGACGAACGGTCTAGTAAAGTTCGATCGTCCTTTCTTTTCTATAGTGTGCCAAATGTTTTCCAGAATGCAAATGAAAACGCTCAGAATGGTCGTGTAAACGAATCCTAAAAGCAGTAGATGTACGTGAGCGTATTCGACTGGTTGAAAGACCGACCGATCAACATCCGACCTTTTCCTTCCCTTGGGCATCCATTTTCTTTCGAGGTATTTCAAGATTCCAGCCGAATGTAGTCGCATCAAGCTAGCGATAAGCGGAAGACAATTACTGCAATAATAAGCGGAAGATGAAGGCAGAAAAGTCGCTTACTAGACGTTTATCAAGTGGCGATGCTTTGCAAACCGGGCATGCAGAAAAGAGATTTTAAGTGTCCAGTAACGATTGGCCGTTTCTACGATACGGCAGATGTGTCGAACCCTTTGATAAATAGGTAAAAACACGTCCGGAACTTCCAAGTAAGCGAAACCAGGAGTGCAAAGTTGAGAAACCAATGCACTAGTATTTCTCATGTCTGGACAGTAACTGTTCACCAGAGTTTTCCACTCCTCCTTCACTTCACCTCTCGGAGATCCATCCTGTTTAAAATACATCGTATGTCCGTGTATAGATCAATTTTAAGGATTCCACGCTAAAAAGAAGATGAAAGAAGAGAAAAGAAGAGGAAAGAAGTGGAAAGAAAGAAAAAAGAAAGGATTTTCCTTACCACCGTAAAACGAATATAGGCGCTGCTATCGTTTCTCACGCAAACGGAATGACTTCGTTTTTGCAACGCGTCTTCGAGACCGGTTAAAGGCAGATAGTTTCCACGTATCGCTAGATAAGAGGTAAGTGTACTGCTAAATCCGTCTGACAGTAACATTCCGGTTATTAAGTGGGACAAAACGATCAGTCGAAGCGGCCAAGAGGCTGGTATTTTTTGTAAACCTATATTAACATGGTGTTCTATCGGTACACAAAGTGTATTATAGTAACGCTATTATTTAGCTTTTTACCTTGACCACTCAAGCTACCTAGAACCACGAGTAAATTAAAAGAGGCCGAGGAAAATTCATCGTCGTATTCTACGTAATTTGCTTGTGTCACTTTCTTCAGATAATGTACACCTACGATGACGGCAGCTGTACCCAGAACGAAGATCAGAACGGTTAGCCACAGTCCTCTGCTAAAGACGTTCACGTACCACTCTGGCAAAACCCTCGTTCCATCGGATTGGACGAAAAGAGCGTATCTGCGGATGTTCAGATTGTTAGTAGGTATTATCAAATATCGAAGCGAGTATACCGCCAAGAGGAATATTAATCGGGAATGACTTACGAGATTGTAGTAATCGGAGTACTGTAAGCGTAATATCCGGAGGTGTCGGAATAAATCACCGTGGCTACCAGTAGTGCGTGAGCTTGTCCATTCATCAGCGTCTGGCTGGCCGACGGTCCTGCTTTTCGGTAAATCGTTCTGCATTTTCGACGAAGAAACGCCTTTATTACGGTGCACGCACCGCCCGCCCACTATTTTCTCTTCCCTTCTGCCCTGCCAACCCCTTTTCTACCATGCGCTACTATACTTATACTTATACCTGTCTAGACGAATGAATCATACGAGTATTTTGACCTAGCGGCGTGTAGGTGGTACAGGGAAAATTGGTCAAATTCTTCGTACGGTCTTTGAACGTGCGTACCTACTCTACATCGTTCCGATACTATTAGCCGTGTAATTTAAAGGAAGCCGAAACGGTGCGACGGATTAGAAGAGAGGTATAAATATATACAAGTGTAAGTATGTATCGCGATTATTTCTCTCCATCTCTAGATCGTACCAGGGATTGGAATTCGAGATCAATGAAAAAAATAGTAGATATCGTTGCGTACACAAATCCCAAGAATTGTTCCAAAGTTGTCCATATGTCGCCGATGAAACCAGTCACTGTGCTGTCATTCGAGCCTCCTAATACGTACGGATGCATCTGAAACGCGTTCACATTCTCGTTGTTCTCTTCGGTCGTTGTTGTTGTGCAGTGATGCTTGATACGTACGATATCTGTCGCAGCAACGATCACTTCTCCTCGCAAATCGCTTGCCATTTTAACGCTACACACGACACTGCCGTTCAACTTTACAGCTTGAATCTCTTCGAATTCTTCCACGACGCTGTTCCATCGCCAAACACGGCCCGCTATCATTTGAAACATTCTCTTTTCGTTGTGATTCTTCAGAAACCGGATGCACCTTTCGCCAGTGGCCAACACCACGAATACCTGCAAACGAAACACCGTAGAAATTTCGGTTCAATTTGATTTGCTCTCGCTCACCGTTAGAAATGCGACCGCGTTCATCTTTCTCTAGTGTTCTCGAGTCTAGTGGGAGGACTGTGTGCGTCGCCGGTTCTTCTTCCTCTTCGTTTCCGAACCATTGCAGTGACTAAGCAAAATGTCTTTCGAATAAAACAATCGACAGACAGGTTCGACAGGTTGAGGGCGACTTATTATTTATGTATCTATTTTTCCCTTAATGGGTAGGCACGATGTTCTCTCCCTCGGGGCATATTGTGTATGTACATAAATATGATACATAAGTACGTATGTACGTGAATCTGAAGCATAATAACGAAAGAATCGAAGGAATTTGTAACGCAATTCATCGCAACTCAGATATACTTGGAGGTTTGACAGTGAACTCCGAAGGGTACTGGTATTTACGCAGTTTCGTTCAATCCTACGGATTAATCAATCTTTTTCATCGTCTGCGTAAGATATGATTTTGAAAAGGAACCGTCGCAGGTATATCTTGTCGGAAGCACCAATCACGTCATGTCGCTATGCGCGTCGGTTATGCGCAGTAGAAAAAGTTGAACGTACGGCGCATCATTTGTGCGGCTTCTTAGATCGATATGATGTGATCGTTGTCTGATGATCGAATTCGAAGAAATTCAGCTAGGATGGTCGGCAAAATGTTCCCGAGAAATCGGAAAGAAACACGTTCCCTGTGCCTGAATAACTACGATGCACGCGGGAAATGACAGAGATGATCGTGAATTTCTAAATAGGTAAGTAAACTTTTTGCAATTCGATTGACTCTCCATAACCTTAAAACGCGTCCGCGGTACCGTATCACGTATCGCATTGATTTTTCGATGGATACGTCGATTACGTATGTACGCGTGTACTGGTATCCCGTGGGAGTAGCGTTGTTCGAATCGTCAGAGTTTCGAATATCTGTTCGTCGACGTAGCTTTCCGAAGATCAACGTTAATTTCGTCGGGTTAACGTTCCACGCGTCGCGTCGTATCGTATCGTAATAAATAAAGGAGTCAGACGAGCGTTCCTTTCGAAATATGCGCAGCATAAATGTGCGGGTAGCAACAGGACAGGGGGTTTGAAACTACGTAGAAACGAGTAAGAGAGATCTCTAAAAGTAGCTCGTTAGTGCGGATACAGCAGTAGCAGCAGCAGCAGCAACAACAGTGGGGGAAAAAAGAGAAAGATCAGGGACCCTTTTCTCGAGCCACCTGCTGTTGCTGGTGCAAGTGTAGCCATAATAACAGTAGAGTAGCAGCCCTCGATTGGGATCCTTACGATGACAGACAGTAGCAACGTGTGGGGTAACAGGCAACATATGGACCACGACCATTTTACGCATTTCCATAGCTTTACTGCCAGATCTTTCTCGTCCTTTTTCCATTTTATCGAGCGTTCGAAAATATCACGTGGTAATGAATTCTCGGTCGAATCAAGCCTATTTCCATACATAGATCGAACTGGAAAGTAGTGGTTGCATAGGAAATTTACAACGACTATACGATATGGAGTATCTCTATACCTACATATACGTATGTAGTTGGAACACCGATACCGATGAATCGATGCTCCCAACGTAAAAAGCAACGCGATCGAATACGCTGATCGAGCCTACGCACAGTTTGCTACGCGGAATAAAATCTGCGCGAGGTTTAAAAATAGCCCATTTCACTGTTTTGTAATGTGTCACGTACTGCATTTTGTGCCAGCCTCGGCGTTCGATACGCGTAGAAGGATTTGAATCGTTTTGAAAGTCAATTTCGATTTTAAACGTTGCGAAAAAAGAAGTCGATGGCCTATCTCGCCCCCCCCCTCTCTCTCTCTCTTTCGATTTTCTCTCATTTCTTTTCGTTTGCTATCGCATCCGCCCGATCCGCGCCGGGATACTGCAAGTAAATTGTATGTATTCAGTAGGTGTCCCGGATTCGACCGATACAAAAATTCAATCGAGTTTTCGGAGTGACTGTGCAATGTAAACTGCAACGTGTATAGTCTGGATTGAATTTGAAATTCTCCCCTGCTTCCTACGTGAAATCCGTTTTCTCCCATATCTTTTCCCAGACCTTGAAACTGTACACGCTCCGTTTCTCTTTTTCATTCGGGTGTTAAAAGAGGAGAAAGAAGATAGGGACGGATTGTGAGAAGGAAAACTACCAGATGACTGGCGCGCAAGTAGCTAACGTTCGTCGTGTCACACGTTTTAGGATGAAAATCCGAAAAAGGAGGCAAAGTTGCGACGGGGCGAAGCACGTCGGCCGAACCATCAGATACTGATCGCGAGGACGCGTTGTGCCAGTCTTTGACGTTTGCCGCGATGATTTGCAAAGCATTGTGGAAAAGACAAGAACGAAGAAAAAGAAGGAGAGATAGAAGAAAGAGGAGGGGATGGAAGAGAGAGGGCGAGCGTGTGGAAGAAGGAGGAAGGTAAGTTAGACGGGACTACGAGAGGGAGATTGGTGAAGAAAGAGGAGCGGTAGAGGATGGATGAGGAGAAGCTTTCCGGTTGAAGGGGTAAGCGGGAGAGTACCGTATGGCGGTACGTGTGGGGAAACGAAAAGCTTGGGGTAGAGTTGTGGTAAGGTGGCTGCGAGAATGGGGTGGCGGCGGAGAACACGAAACTGGCAGCAAAGAGGACGAGGAGCTACAGAAGGAGAATGTGGTGATAGAGCTGGTGGTGACTGCGATAATAGTGCCGGTAGTGGTGATGGTTATGGTTATGGTTATGGTGGTGACGGAGGCGATGGCGATGGCGATGGTGATGGCGATGGTGATGGCAATGGCAATGGCGATTGCAAAGGAGATAGCGATGGCGACGGCGGAGGTGGCGGTGATGGTGGCTTTGGTGGCAATGATGGAGGTGGCGACGGAGAAAGAGAAGGAGAAGGTGATAGAGAAAGAGGAGGTAGGTAGATAGGAGGTAGGTAGGGGCTAGTCTATGGTAGCGGGTGCATCATGGTTCGGCCCCTACATACGAATATGTAAGATACTACATACACAAGAGAACAGGCGTCAAGAGTGTACGGAGCAAAGAAAGACCAAGCGTTCGAGTACAAGGTGGAAAGAGAGGAGAAGGATGACGAGGAGGAGGAGTAGGTGGCGGTGGTGGTGGAGGAGGGG